CACGTTTCGATGTTTTAAGATCTCAGTAGCCTCCGCCTGGACTCCTCTCATTAGCACAAACCACTCTCTTAGCTTTCAATTCTCAACCTCACTCAGAGCTTCATTTCTGCCGCTAGCGAGTCCGATCTCTTGAATCTGGATATTGTCATAATTTTTTACCACATCTAATAGTTTATAGTGCCTGATGTTCCTATATAGCTGAATGTGTTGGAGCTTAACCAATAATATAGCTACTGCTCCATTGACAAACATCCCTTGAAACTACACGCAAACACCTACAATTTGGAAGAGGAAATCAGCCATCTCTTAGCGGAATCTCTACTGACAAGTGAAACGATGAATCATCCGTTTGGGACGCTACTTGATTCTGCACGGTAATTGTCGGTCTATTTTCTAATTTTCTGTTTAGTTCAGAAATTAAGCTTTTACTCCACTTGCTTCGTGCTCAGGCGGCTATCTCCAATTTACGCTATTTGGACTCCTCATTGCTTCTCACTCGAGCTTCCAGCTTCTTACGCCTGCTAACTAAGACACATGGAGCCAAGGTCGGTGTTTGCTTCGCCATTTTTGTCCATTTCGTTAAAATCTTGGTGCACAGTTTTCGGTGTTCCCTTAATCTCTTTTGGTAAAAATTTCTATAATTTAATCTCATTCAACTACCGGGTATTAGTTTCTTCATTTAGGTATAAACCATCCGATCGCTTTTATATGGTTGACTTCCGGTAGCTACCTGGTTTCGATCACAACACACTGCTTGATGCGCATAGTTCTGTTCCACACGCTTTGTACTTCCAAGTCTTAAACTTCCAACCATTGTGGCTGTTGTTAGGAGAATAGCTATTTAATTCTTTTTTGTGAACGAGCTTAATAGTCCTTCTTTATTCTTCCTACTTTATACTTCTTGACTGTTGTTTAAACGCTCCACTGTGTTAGCCCGATTGGTGCACACACCTCATTGTTAATGAACGCTCATCTCTGTGTCATCTTCAACAGTGCCATTTGCAAGAACACATTCTATTGCTTTTTCTCCGCATCACTTTTCTACTTAATTATGTTAAAGGAATATTTAGTTGTCACACAGTTGTTGTACTAGTTTTATTTTTGGGTCTGCACTTCTTATTCTCGTTTGTCTTGTGGCATTTGTTTAAACGTTACATTTCGTTATTCTGATTGGCCAATGTCCGTCACTGTAAATGGATGTTTGCTTTATGCTTGGGGTCCCATGATGCTGTTTTTAAGGACATATGCGATTCGCTCTTGATTACACGGTTGCTTATTCGCCGTTGCATTTGACGTTTTTCCTTCTGCTGGTTGGCTCAAGCGTAATTTGGTAGCTTCCCTTCCTTTTGCCTTCAAAACTATGTAAGCAAATGTAATTTCATGTATACAAGTCTCTTACCGGCTCGTATTTCGAATTCTTCTTGCGGTCGTGGGATGAAGCCGTCAGTGGCGACATATCAGCTGTGTCACATGCTTATCTTGACAACCCTGTTAGCTTAATTTTTACGTTAACATATTACTGGGGCCTCTGCTTGTTGCTAAAACACCAACTATTATGTTAGAGGTCTTTGACCTATCTCTAGCATAATAGTTGGCGTTTTAACAACAAGCAGAGGTCTTTGACCTATCTCCATCGCAATGACGCTGTACCTTACCGTGGTGCGATGGTTTGTGTGCCTCAGCGATCCATTGAGCTATGCTGGGTGGTGCTTTTGCACCTTCAGAGTCACTCATACCAGATTGGTCAATGGTTAGAGGCCAGACAATCTCAGCCTCCTGGTCCTCCAGGTTGGAGGTTGGAATGAGGGTGGCACCTTAATCCTTAAAACGGACTCCTTGTAGCCCACCGCCAAACCCGCTGCCTTGCGGTAAGGTTTTTGAACCAAAGGCTTTGGTTGAGAACCCTAATCGTTCTCCTGTCTAGGCCTGGGCAACCTGACAGTATCCTGCCCACGCAATACTATGAATCTTACTTCAAACAATTTCTTGATGCTCTGGCCACCGCAGAGGATAATCAACGGTGCCCTATCTGCTGCATCGAGCAGGGTGGATAGGGGTTTGGATGCTACTGCTCAAGCCTTCCCGTCTTCTTATTCCCCCTCTTACGCTTTTTCACTCTTACCGTCCCCTTCCAACTTCACTTATTTCCCCCCAGTTTTCAACCCCCGATTCTTGGCCCTCCCCCAACATGCTTTGCTAGGCATTTATCTTCTAATTTCAACTCACATGTGAACGCGGAGCGTCACTCCTCTCCTGTCGACAAGCCCATGTCTAACCAAGCGGTCCATTCCAGTTCATCGGCTTCCATTTGGAGCCCTCGATCCTCCTTCAGATTGGCATGCCTCAATGTACGCACACTGCTACAAATCGGTCAACAGGCAGCACTTGCCCGAACATTGGAGACCCTCTCGATCGATATCTGCTGCTTATCAGAGACTCGCCTGCAAGACTCGAGCTCTGTGCTCACTTTGCGATCCCCTTCAGGTGACTCAAGCAGTATTTTCTCATTGCGCCTATCCGGTGACGATGTGGCTTCGAGCACCGGCCAAGCTGGTGGTGGTATTGCCCTGAGTCCCCGGGCTGAAGCTGCTCTAGTTGATTGGATTCCAATCAGTAGCCGGATGTGTGCGGTCCGATTGGCTGGCTCGTTTAAAGCTTCGCAGTCGCGCGGGACTAATAGATGTCTATTCATCATCGCTGCCTATGCACCCACAAACTGTAGCGATGATTCGGTAAAGAACGACTTCTACCGCCAACTGACCCAGATCCTTCGCCACAGAAGAAGCACGGACACTGTTGTGCTGGCGGGGGATATGAACGCACAAGTTGGAAAGTTGTCAACTGATGAACTGCGTCTGGGGGGTCAACACGGTGTAGGCTCCCGTAATGATAACGGTGAGCGGTTACTTCATTTGTGTGAAGATGCTCGCTTATTTCTTGCGAGCACTAATTTCAGACACAGCACCCGCCGGAGGGTGACTTGGCGCCCACTAGCATCGAACCAGCTATGGACGCAGATCGATCACATTGCCATCGGTTACCGCTGGAGAGGCTGCATCTAGAATTGTCGCTCGATTTGGAGCACATGTGTGGACACCGATCATGCACTTGTATGTGCTGACGTGCGGATGCGTTTTGGCGGACGCCCACGACGACGATGTGAGCGCATTGACACCAGCCAACTGACAAATCCATCTGTTCTGAATGCGTATCGAAGTACGCTGATATGCAAGTTGAGTAATCGCTCACTGGAGACAATTGATGGTCACTGGTCACATGTTCGCCAGACCTTACTAGCAGCAGGCAAATCCTCATGTGGCATGTCTAATAGCCAACATGGACATTGGGTCTCTTCTCGGTCTCTGGAACTTATCGACGCTCGCCGGCATATCCCGGCTGGAAGTGAACACAATGAAACTCGCAAAGAGCTCAGTGAAAAACTCCGTGCTAGCCTGAAGAGAGACCGCTAATCTTGGTGGACTGTTCGTGCGTCAGAGATGGAAGTGGCCGCTGCCCTTGGCAACCATCGTAAGTTATTCCGGCTGATAAGGGAAACGGGCAGCAGGAGACCTGGTGTTAGTGAAACAATTTGTGATGAGAGTGGACAGCCTATCCACAACTTGTAAAAACGCTTGGAGCGTTGCGCTGAGCATTTTGAAAAGCAATTTAATCGGCTAGAATTGTTCGATTCTTCGCTGGCCAGTGATCACCCTGCTCCGTGGGCTGTCCCTTTGGATCCACCCTCTTGCTCAGAAGTCGAACGTGAGATCGGACTGTTGAAGTTGAACAAAGCCGCGAGATCAGATGATCTTCCTCCAACTCTCTTCAAATTCGGAGGCTCTGCTCTTGTTAATGCTTTACATGAATTACTAGTGAAACTGTGGGAGGAGGAGATTGTCCCAACCGACTGGAGCCGCTCCGTTATTGTTCCCATCTTCAAAGGGGGCTCGCGCTCGGAATGCGGCAACCATAGAGGAATCAGTCTGATCTCTATCGCCTCCAAATTACTCGCCTCCATAATTCTCCACAGACTGACTGGCGCTCGTGAAGGCCAGATTCGTGAAGAGCAAGCCGGGTTTCGTCGGGGTCGTGGCTGCATCGACCACATCTTCACCTTGCGTCAGTTGTTGGAGCACCGTCACACATATTGGCGGCCCACCGTTGTCGTTTTCCTCGACATCAAAGGTGCCTTCGATTCGGTTGATCGATGTGCCCTTTGGAATTGTTTACTCAGGAAAGGGGTGCCCGAGAAATATGTTAATATTATCCAAGCATTATATGCGCGTAGCACGGGCAGAGTGAGGGCTTACGGCAAGCTGTCGCCACCCTTTAATATCTCCAGCAGTGTGAGACAGTGATGCCCGCTGTCACCTTTCCTCTTCAACTTCGCTATTGACGAAGTCATGGAGATTGCATTTACAGGACATGACTTGGAAGGTGTGGAGCTACTCCCAGGAGAACGACTTCTTGACTTGGAGTATGCAGACGACATTGCCCTCATCTGTGACAGCTCCCAGACGTGCCAAGCCGCGCTGGACAGATTAGCACTGGCTGTCATTCGCTTCGGGCTTTGCTTTGCACCATCGAAGTGCAAAGCGTTCCTCCAAGATTGGCAGGGATCACCCCCTGTGCTGACCCTTGGTGGGGATCAGCTAGAAGTCGTTCAGAAATTCAATTACCTGGGAAGTTGTATCAGCGCCCTTGGGATCGAAGACGAGATCACGAACCGTATAGCAAAAGCTCGAAGTGGTTTTGCTGGTCTTCGCCACCTATGGCGGCGGCGCGACATTACTCTCGCCCTAAAGGGTAGAGTGTACAATGCAACGGTACGTTCGACCTTACTGTGCGATTGCGAAACCTGGCCCCTAAGATCGGCGGACATGAAGAGGCTAGTTACGTTCGACCATCGGTGCCTTCGCAGTTTGGCTCACATCTGGCGGGAACACCGCGTGAGTAACGAGCGTCTTCGACGCCTTGTTTACGGCCCAGGAATGAACCGCTCGGCACCGTCATTTCCCGCTTTAGGCTCCGATGGCTCGGCCACGTGTTACGCATGCCAGTCCACTGACTCCCTCGACGTGCTTTGTTTGCTCACCGGGGATGTGGGTGGAAGAAGAGGAGAGGTGGCCAAGCGATGACTTGGTCCAGAGGAATGAAGGCCCTCAATTCGGAGCTGGCGTCGGTTGGAGCTTCACGGCTCCCTGGTTGGGGTCCAAAAGACGGTGAGCACGTTTTGCTGGATACACTTGCTGATATGGCAAGGAGCCGACTTCAGTGGCGTTCCTGCTGTGAGTTTCTTTGTCCCTCCCCATCCCTTTTAGCCTCCCCTTCCACCTACGATCTCATGTTGTAGCGTAAAACATAATAATTTTTATTTTTGCTTAGTAGCCGGCTGGTAGCTTACCGGAACGATGCGTATCCGTTGCTGGTAGCTCAGCTGGCATTCAACTGTCGTATTTATTTTTCCTTTATGTATTTTATGTGTGTGCATGTATTTCCTTTATGTATTGCGGTACAATAGCGGAGGTGTTTCACCACCTCTAGC